TCCCACACACTCACACACACACTCACACACACACACACACACACACACACACACACACACACACACACACACACACACACACACACACACCCACACACACACACACACACACACACACACACACACACACACACACACACACACACACCCACACACACATACACACACACACACACACACACACACACACACACACACACACACACACAGAGACACACACACACACCCATACTCACACCCACACTCACACACACACACTCACGCACACACACACTCACAGACACACACACACACACTCTCTCTCACACACACACACACACACACACACACACACACACAAACTGTCTCAGCATAATCCCACTGGACTGTTCATTGTTCCCAAACATGACAAGCTGCTTGGCTGTCTGTGCTGTAAGAGAAGGCAAGATAGAGATCTGTGAGCATCCAAGTAGGTGCAAAATAAGTGAACACTAAGAAAGCAAGGTAAGAGCCCAAGGTGCATTCTGTTCCAATACATGAAGTGGGTGCCTGTTGCTGCATGCAAAGTGGCCCGGTAGCAGCATTGCAATGTGAGCTGCCTGTGAGCTCTAAAGTGTAGAATTGAAGTGCTGAACTGTATTATAAGTGTGTTACAGATGGGCTATAATGATATGGTGAAGCTGTTGCTTTGCCATTGCCAACTTCCATGTATTGAAGGGTGCAGGTGGTTACCGTGTATGAAACATGCCCTGAGGTGTTGGGAATGATTGCCAAGATGGAGGTGCACAGATCTTGCCAGCAAGCTGTAAACGCCATTCAAAATTTCATGTTGGGAATTGTCACCATCTAGATTCTCTCTACAGCCTGGTAAAATAGCAAACTGTGTATAAATGTGGTGAGATTTGGTAACAGTGAAATGTTAACTAATGCAAATAGTCCTTTGCCACCAACCAGCAAGATGCTTATCTAGGTATTAAAATCTTGGGTGGAAAATCAAAATTTTTTTCTGAAAGCCAAGAACTTCATGCTCTGTTCTCGCATAATTTTCTAATCGATTCGCCAGTTCCCATGTTTTGGAGGGCCTGGGAAAATTCTACCCATAACTTTCAGCAAGGCATGTGATTCAATAAAAACTGAAAGAACTGTGGATGCTGTAAATCAGGAATAATAATAAAAGTTGCTGGCAAAGCTCAGCAGGTCTGGCTGCATCTGTGAAGAAAAAAATCAGAGTTAACATTTCGTGTCCAATGACCCTTCTTCGGAACACTGATCTGAGGAAGCGTCACTGGACCCGAAACGTTAAATATGATTCAATCAACTGCCTAACAGGACAACTGTGGTGGTGATGGATGGAACATGTGTACTGCTGAGTTTATGATAGACAGAGAACACAGACCAGAGGCCACTAGTTCAACTATGACTTCAGTTCAGAAGTGTCAGAAGTTCAGTTCAGTATGGAGAACAGTTTCTTCTTAGCAGGGGAAACAAATTTTCTTTTCAGGAGAACTAGTCATTCAGCCGAAGGGTGTTAGTTTGTGAGACCTGCAAGCCATGAAACTTCCTACAGAAGTTTTCAAATTTTTAGAGTTGAAGCGGTTTAGAACATCATAATTTAAAAAAAAAGATTCATGCCAACGGACTCAGAAAAAATTTGAAGAAAATATCTTAGTAGTCCACAATTTGTTCAGTAAGAAATTAAACAGTTGAGATAGAAGTGATATTTCTCTGGAATTTGGCTATCTGCAAAAATGCTGCATTGAGAAAGAAATTGAAACTTTGCTTTGTTGTTTATATTAAGACCTTTCTAAACTGTCATTTATATAGTTTTGTTTCCTTATTTTATAATGAGCTTGCGTACTTTCGTTAAAAACCAAGCTGGCTTCCGTGTTTATGTTCAGTGATTAACCGCCGTGATAATCAACTGCAGAAATGAAATATATGATCTATCAAGCCAGGTTTCACCTTTGAATCTGACTTATCCAGCATTAACATCACCTGGGGTCATAAGTTATTTTCTGATGTGGGGAAACCACTCAGGTAGCTGGTGGGCATCATCTCTCCTCAATACTCAAGACATTGTTGACAGTTAGTCTGTTGGACTAAAAAAAGGAATAATCTGATTGACAAATTAAAGTTAATTTGAAGATCGTTAAAAGGAGACAAGATGTCAAAATTTTTCATTTTGCTCTCATTACAAATAGGACGCAAAACACATTTGGCAAAGAAAGGGGCTCCAATTTAAAATGATGATGCTGATTTTTGGAGCCATTGTTGGCATGGGGATATGGTAGAATCAGTTAACTGTCAGTGCTTCAATTTTTAAGTATCAAACAATTATCCATTTAACGGATTGGGTTTGATTCCTCCACTGGGTAAAGTCCACAGAAGGTTGTATATCCATACTTAGAGGTGTGTGTTCAAGGGTGAAATCAGAAAGCGCTTCACACAAAGGGTAGTGGAAATCTGGAATTGTCTATTTCAAAAAATGCTACTGCATTTGGAGATCAATTGTTGATCAGTTGTCATCAGATTACAAAACAGATTGCTGGATTTTTGTTAAGACAAGGCTGTTGATATTTATGAATGAAGATATATTAACGAAATTAAGATACAGATCAGCAGTGATCTTGCTTAATGATGGTATGTGCTTGTGTGGCTCAACAGTCTCCTCCTAGCGGGAATATTGGAAAAGGTTCACACCTGGAGGACATAATCCAACGATACATGCCGGAAAGACCTCCGAGCTGCCAGGAGGGCATTGGTAGCTTCATCCACCTCATGCTGTTTCTTGGGGGGTGCCTGGGCATTTCTGTTCAGTGCATTATCCAGATCCTCACTACTTCTGTCAAAATGCTTTTTTGTTTCCTTGAACTTCCTCACGTCCCTGAGACAGAGAAAAAAAATGCATTAAATTATTTGGGGACTGGAGGGTAAAAGTCAATGCATTATAAAGAAGAGCTGTTTTGGTAACTAATCCACAGGAGCACATTATTAAACCAGGGATACTAAATTAATGCAAGTTATCTTTGAAGAACACAGTGAAATTATTCTTTTCAAACTCAGTGCTTTTCCAAAACTCTGAATTAAAAGAAGCTACATAAAAAGGGTGAATTTCTCCAGATTACAATACTTGAATTAGTCTACAGTGCTGAAACAATAAACAGTTCTAAACCCTGGTAATCCTTTTGATTTGTGTTATGAATTTGTGAGGATACATTTTACATGGGACTAAACCTCACAGGGGTCTGTCATCTTGCAGCTCCTATCATGACTCCGTCAAGAAGACTGAAGATGGACTACTGCCTATATTTTGATGTTGGTGAAATGTCAGGGTGAGTATTCACGTACAGCAGTGGGGATGGAAAAGGCAGAGATGGACACAAAAAGAGACAGTTGAACAGAAAGAAACAGGTGGATGCATAACCAGATGTATACATGCTGGTATAAACCTGTAAGCACACCAGCCTGAATTTAATGTCAATGCAATGGCCAGAAAGCGAAGGCTAAGTACACCCAATTCTGGTAGATCCAACAGGATTATGCGTCAATTAGGAAGTTACCTGCCTGTGATCAAGGTTCCCATGCCTTTAAGACGGTGACTCAAGAACTGCTAGCCAGAGGGGAAGCAGCTCCTTGGTCCAAACAGAATCAATGAGAACAGTGAGCATTGCAGTAGGCCCAGTGCTACAACCATAGGAGAGACCACCACAAGACTGGGGAGAGTGATACAAGAACGTTCGACATGTGCCGGTGAATGGGTCTTTGTGGAGCACAGGGAAAGAGGCAGGTAGTCAGGGAGGTCACCATAGATTATAAGCAGTATTGAAGGTCTTGAGGCACAGTTGTAGTCCCTACCTGTGGGCCAGAAGGTGCTGATTCAAGTCGTATCTGCCCTAGGGGAGTGCCATAATATGTCCGAACTGATAGATGAAAAATAATTATACATAACAGGGGGATGAAGTCACTTTATTGGTTGTTGACTAAAAGGCTTCAATTGACCTTTGAGTGTGAAGGCCATCTGTATCCTTTATGGTCCCTGACTTAAAATCACAAGCAGTCGGAAAGATGACAGGCTTCCCACAGTTTCATGTTCAATTATAGATATTTTCTAATCAGCCTGTTCAGAGATGTTATTACATAGCTCTGGGGCAGGTGGGACTTGAAACCTAATCCAGAAGTGGGAACACTACCTCTGCACCATGAGAACTCTCACACTCAATTATTGATATTTTTAATCAACATGGATGCCCCTTTAATTGACATCCGGCCCACTCTTGAGGATGAGATTAAATTTTGCCTAATGAGTAGTTGGACTCTAATACCCATACAAATGTAAAGTCACCAGATGGAACATAGCTTAGTATACTCACTCCTTGATGAAGCTATGCAAATGCTGTTTGACTGATTTTTGAGTCACGTCGATGAGTGTCTGAAACACATAAGAAACAGTCATTTGAAGTGCTGATGGAGCTCAGTGAGGGAAGCAGGATCAAAACAATAGCAGATTCCTTGTGCATTCGCCATTGTTCCCAATACTTATGGGAGAGTTAAATAGTTTAAAAGATCTCTTCATTTACTTCGTCAACTAAGGTGTCTAAATGCATTACATTACATGCATATGACAACTCACAGTCAAACCTCAAAAAGCTGTACTTGCATGCACATCAAACCATGGGATGACAGTGCTGGGTGCGAAACAACTTCTTGTCAGTACTAAACACTCCTGTAGTTAGATTCCCGTAAATGCAAGCTCATCATGTTTTCCTTTCCTCTTTTCGGTCTCCGTCTCTATCTCTTCATAGTCTCCAATCCTTTCTTCATCCCTCCTTCCTTTCATGTTTTCCTCCCACATTCTCTCTTCCGCTGTCACACTGTTCCTTCTCACACATACTTTCTGCCTGTTTCACATGCTAACTTCCTTTCTGTTTTTCTCATCACTATTTCTCCCTCTTTGCCTTCATCTCATTCTCCTTCATTTGGTGACCAGTTGCAGTCACTGTTTTACAGCCTCTGTGCTTGTGAGCTGCATGGTGTCCTATGTTGTGCCCTTTAACATTACATCCATTCAAATGTCACTAACGCTATTTTTACCACCTTATCCAACAATATTCAAAATGTCTCAACAGCTAATATTAACTGAATCCCAGCTGGAACAAGGTGACAAACTGGACAGTGGCTGGAGTTGGGGTTAGCGATAAACTAATGAGAAATCAGGCCTTCCAATCAAAATAATGCAGTCAGTAAACGAGGAGAGAATGAATTTGCTCCAGGAAACGTTCAGTGCTGTTACTCACCATGTGATGATCAAGCATACTACTTAGACTGTGTGAAAATTTCTCCAGACATTCCTGTGTGAACAAATAACCAAAGGTCAAGAGTAATGCTTAAAAAGGAGAACTGAGAAAGGAGTCAGTGGCTCAATATTGCCAAGTGGTAATATCAAGTGATGCTGATTTTATCAGTGACATTTTGATAACGAATGTACAGAATTTTGACCTTTCTAGCCTCTCAACATGTTGGACTCATGTTGAGAGAAATCGGCAGGAACTAAACTTGTTTCTCACAGAATGCATGCATTGTGACTGATTTTGGGGTTTGATGCCCCACTGTCAACTCATCCCTGAAGGGAGGGAATGCAAAATGAAATTCCTTCTCTAAGCTTATCCATCCCTCTCTCATTTAAGATCCTCCTTACAATATATCTCTTAAGCCAAGCTTTTGGATCCCTGTCTTGGTACAATCAGACCTTAGACAAGGTTCCCTAAGGTATCTAGGTTCTAAATAGGACACCCCAAATTATTAAGTGCATAAGTGAGGAAAGATGAACTGATTCCATTTCTTTATTCATGCACTCTCTCAGTTAGTTGCAACAAACTTAATTGAAAAAGAATCCCTCCCTTGTGGATGCCTTTCTCTAGTCTTTTCGTCCTAATTCCTTTAACAGTGGTTGCCTGGCAGCACTCAGAGTGAGAGTCTTTTGTGTCCAGTTTCCTTCTAACTAGCTTGCTGGCTAGTTTTTTCTAGTGCACAGAGTGATAGATTTAATTTAGGAGCGACTAGAGTTATCCAGCATGGAAACAGACCCTTCGGTCCAACTAGTCCACGCCGACTATGTTCCTAAACCAAACTAGTCCCACTTGCCTGCGTTTGGTCCATGTCCCTCCAAATCTTTCCTATTCATGGACTTGTCCAAATGTTTTTGCTGTCCAAATGTCGTAACTGAACCTGCATCCACCACTTTATTCTGCATATGAACCACTCTGTCTAAAAAAATTCCCCCTCAATTTTTAAAAAAATCTTTCTCCTCTCACATTAAAAATATGCCCCCTAGTTTTGAACTCATTCAACCTAGGGAAAAGACCCTTGCTATACACGCTATCTACGCCCCTCATGATTTTATAAACCTTTATAAAGTCTCCCTTCAACCTCCTATGCGCCAGTGGAAAAAATCCCAGTTTTTTTTTAACTCAAACCGTCAATTTCCAGAAACATCCTGGTAAATCTTCCCTGGACCTTCTTTAACTTAATAATATCCTTCCTATAGCAGGGTGAGCAGAACTATTCATAGTGCTCCAGAAGAGGCCTCACCATTGCACTGTACAACCTCAACGTGATGTCCCAACTCCTATATTCAAAGGTCTGAGGAATGAAGGCAAGCGTGCTAAACACCTTATTAACCTTCTGTTTATGTCTGATGCAAGTTTCATAGAATTATGTAACTGAACCCCTAGGTCTCTCTGTTCCACAACATTACCCAGGGCCCTACCATTAATTGTAAAAATCCTGCCCTTGTTTGTTTTAACAAAATGCGATACCTTGCATTTTTCCAAATTAAACTCCATCTGTCACTGCTCAGGCCACTGACCTAATTGATCAAGAACTCTTTATAATCTTAGATAACCTTCTTCAATGTCCACTATACCTCCAATTTTGGTGTCATCCAGTGGATGGTTCTTTGACTGAGACCTGCATATCTGCGCTCAAATTCAAGCTTAAATCCTCAAATCTCTTAGCACACCTTCTTCCATTAGCATATCTTATCCCACCAGTATACACAAACCAGGGTTGCAGATGGGTTTTAACCCCATCTTTGTATATTCCTGGAAGGGCAAAACACAAAATAAATGTCTGCAAGAGGTGGCTTCCTGCTGGAGGAGTGGGGGCAGGGGCTTGTTTGAGATATCACTGAACATTACAAGAGTGATATTCTCTGCGTCCCACACAAGACTTTACCATACAGCACTGAATTCACATCTGCAGTCCTTTTCTCTTTGTTGCAGTCCTCTTTAAAAATACAGACACATTTTTGAATTAAAAAATTAAAATCATCCATAACACTGCAGGATTTTGATCCATCATCATGACACTTCTCCCACAGGAGGAATAAAATTAGTTTCATTCTCATTTCATTACAAGGGGTGAAAAAGAAATATATAAAACAATAAACACATGCACGCACACATTCATTCTCTTAGCATCAATCAATATTATTTTTTCAGTTCTAACCTGCTGTCTTTAAGATCTGGACAAGGGGTCTTGTAATCACATTCAGTTTCCCAGCAATGGGTTATCTTTGTGTGGTATAGTTGAAGGAACAAATTCCAACTACACAATTGGAGTCCTGCATCTTAAACTTCTCCACAAAGGTTAACGGGGTGTGGACAGTATAGATTATGGCCTCTCTGTACCCACATGGGACATATATTCCAGACTGTTTTGACAGCCTGTAGTAAACCAAGGATGTCCTTCTCTACAGTGGAGTACTATTTCTGATGCTGGTCTAGTTTTTTTGGAGAAGTACCTGACAGATCTCTCTATTCTGGATTCATCATCTTGAAGGCCCCAGCCCAGTTTCACTTGCATCTACGGGAACTTTAAATGCTTGGATAAAGTTTGGAGACACAAGTGCAGGCACACTTGTTAAAATGGCCTAAAGATTTTCAAAAGTAGTTTGGTATTTCTTATTCTATGTTATCTTTGCATTTTTCTTTGGTAGGCCTGTCAGCTACTGTGCTGAAGTTTGGGACAAACATCCAGTAGAACACACACATATCCAAGATCTTCACTGTTTCCTGTTTAGTTGTGGGAATAGTGAATTATGCTACAGCTTCAACCTTTGCAGCTCAGGACAGTACTCATCTTGACCCACTATGACCTATTTGGGTCACTTGGACCTTAGTAAAACAGCTCTTGCGAGATTAACCACTAGGCCAGATAACTGTATTTTCCAGAACAGGACTTGCAATTGCTTTAAGTGCATTCGCTAAGTCTTGCTGTAGACTGGGAGGTGGTCTGGATGCACTACACAATTAGATAAGCCTACCACTATGTGAATCATCAGCTTTTGAAAGGTGGCTGGTACATTTCAGAATCTGTAGCATGGTATCTTTGGACACTGGTATAACCCATCTAGAGTTATTAATTTGCACGAACAATCAAGGGAACCTGTCAGAACCTCTTGAATAAATCTACTTGTAGGGTGCTTTACCAACCATATCTATGCAGTCTTCCAGTTGGGATATCAGGTATGAATTGATCTGGTCACTGCATTGACTATAGGTAGTCAGTACAGAGCCTTGTGGAGGTATCTGGCTTGGGAGTGAACACAAATTGCGAGCTGCATCTACAGCTGCTTGGCTCTGGAAGTACATGCATGTAGTTAATCTCCCAAACTTCGGCCCAGGCTTTTCTGGGCCTGGCCAATAGGGATATTGCTTTATGGGAATGGCATTTCCTACATCCACATCATGTAGAGCTAGGACGGCACAGCATGTTTTGTCTCTGCATAAACCTCTCAATGCAATGAGTTGCTTCATTAAGTCTGCACATAGGCAGATGAACAAGTAGTCCAAATTTGCTAGTATTTCTGTATTGAACCACGTGGTATGGGGTTCAATGTGAACCTCACACATCTCCCTCCAATTCATTGTTGCTACCGTGTCCACTAGATTGGCGACAATGGGACAAACTGTTACCTTCCCTTCCCCCTTCTTAGCAGTGGCAGATTTAGCATGTTAACATGACACTGTTATTGCCTTTTTTTTCCCTGATCTGGGGACTGAATCAAACTATTTACTTCCCAAAGCTTCTGGACTATGCTGTACAGACCACTGAACCAGGACTTTAAGATTCACTCAATATTGGTGGGAACATTAGCACATAGGTTCCGGGTTGAAAAGTTAGGCCTTGGAATGTTTGTTTGTCTTTTGTCTTGTTACTGTTTTGGGAGATTTTCAAGTATTCTTTGGCCACTTCATAGGCTCACAAGAGTTGCCCTCCGAACTGTGCTATGTAGTTTAACATGGAAACTTCCTTCTTCTGTTCCAAAAACCTCTCCTTGATTAGTTTCATTGGTCCTTGGACATGGTGCTTTTAAATTGATTTAAATGGAGTAAAACCAGTGGACTTAGTTGATGAGATCATAATGGTGAATGTGTGAAAATCTAGTCCTTTATCCCATTCTTCCGGTTACTCATGGCAGTATGCCCTGACCATTGTTTTAGGATATTGTGGTACTATTTTAGTACCCCTTACAGGTGGCATATTGAAGACTTCCACGGGAGTGTTTTGGAAATGTAAGCTCTGATCCCTTAGGAATGTTGGTGGGCAAACAATACCTGGTGAAGAACTGGTTCAATGTCCTCGCCAATTTTAAAACCCAGGGGAACAGCTCTAGGAAGTGGGTAGCCACATCCATGATAGCAGTGATATACTGGTGGTGTCTTTTTGTTTTGAGCAAAGGTCTCACATGTCCACTAATACATTGCCGAATGTCTTCCCATAATCTGGCAGAGGAATCTTAGGGGAAGCTCTTATTACAGGTTGGGGTTTCCAACCTGCCAGGTTCTGGAAAATGTTGCAACATTATTATGGAGCTGTGGCCAGTAAATTACTGGCTGACATGGGTTTGGGTTTTATGTATACCGACATATCCAGCCATTGGAATTACATGCATTAGCTGCAATATTTCCCTGTTGTACTTTGGTGGATCATTGACCATTCCTAGTGTGCAGAAATTTGAAGGGCTTTCCTGTTGCGCACAGCAGCTCATTTTAATGTAGTAGCATTCAGGGACATTTCTGCCTCAGCTTCAGTGTGAGCAGTCAGAACTAAAGTTTTTAAATTGGGGATCAACTTGTTGGTCTCACTTCCTTGGGATCTTGTAGACTCAGGATGTCGGTTTCAGAGAAGTGTACTGGAGGGTGTTCTGTTCCCAGTTCTACATCAGATTCCATTGGCTGGTCTTATTTGACCCTAGACCACGCGTTTGCATCATCAGGGAAATGCCCAGGGCTGTGTCAGGCTGCCTGAGCTCAATGGCTTTCTCACAGACCACTAGGGATGCTATTACCTTTTATCCCACCAGATCATTGCCAAGGATCAGTTGATCTCATCCAAGGGAAAACTGGGGGCTGCTCCCATAGTCCCTAGCTCCGGCACAAGGTCGCACTCTGGATGCACCTGCAAAGAGATTGACATGTCCCCTCCTTCAATCCCATTACTCGCACCTTGGCACTTACTACATCTTCTGGTGGAAGCAGCAATGGGGTTTGGCTAGACCCAGTATAAGCTTGCATCATCCTAGAGAAATGTGGCCAATTTTTCTTTGGATACAAATCCTGATAACTCTCTGGAATTTGTCATTCCTCTTATCCACACTGTCAGGTACAGTGATACATAGATTCACAGCTGTAGTCAGAGCCATAAGCAGGTTTGCTATGCTCCCTGACTGCCATTCCCTCCGCAGGGTGTATAAGCCTTAATAAATTCCTCCTTTTTTTCCTGTAGTCTCCAGCAGTTGGCCCAGACATTCATTATATTTTAGCAGTTAAAACACATGTGTTTCTAGGTCGTCTATGAAGAGTGGATACTGGAATGTTGATAGTTGAAACAATCTATTTCTGGATTCTCAACCTATGCAAATTAGATGAAATTTTTTTGCCCTGTTTCATTTGGCAGCGATCAGCTGGGAGCATTCAGAGCAGAAGAGTCATTCTTGTCCTGTTTCCTTCTGACTGACTTGCTAGCCTGTTGACTTTGAGCAATCAGTGTGTAAGATTATTTTTACCTGCTATGCAGGCGTGATTAATAAATGGTTCTGCAACTGTAACCATCATAGCATAGTAGTGCTTGAATCCAGGATGGAACACATGCTTCCTCAGTTCACAAGTACACTTCCTTACATCAGCAACACCCTTACTCATTAATGCAGGCAGACCACAGTCGCAGTCAGTTTTTCATTCTGATTTTGTATGTTCCTGAAAGGGCAAAATACAAAATAAACAATTGCGAAAGGTGGCCTTCTGCTAAGATGGCAGAGGTGGTCAGCCCCCTAGTTATCTCTTTGTGTTGCATCTCTCTTTCTCTCTGTTTCGAGTTTCCTTGACCCTCCACATTCTGTGGTCCTACACAGAACTTTGCTGGACAGCACTGAATTTACATCAGCAGTCTTATTTTTGTAGCAATACTCTTTTAAAAATACCTTTTGGCATTAAAAATGTAAAAAAAAATGATAGCAATCTGGGGTTCTAATCTATTGCCAAGACAATCTGATTATCTCCTTTTGCTCAGCATCGATTTTTGTATGAAGTTCCTCAAGATGAGTTTTCGGCTCTAAAGGTTCTATATTAATGTAAATTGTGTACTGGTTTTAAAACAATGCGATGATTCTTTTGTGAAGTGTATAAAGGATTTAGGTTACAGATTTAGAAGGTCAGAGAATTTTTGCAATGATTGACATTCCAAAAGATTATGCTCTTGATAGAATAATATGGCATGGCCATGGATAAAATTGGAGGAAATCTATTGTACAAGGTATTAGGATCTGAAAGGGTAGGGTGCATTAAGTACTGTCCAATGGGATGATGGCATATTGACTTGGGTGGGGGTCAGCTCTGGTCTCAAAGGAGAGAGATCTACAATTGGGGCTTCTCTCATAGTGTGTAACAATGTTTATTATACCAATGTATATGTGATAGCAATCTACTTAATATATCTTTCATCATGGTGAGTTATTGAGCATCCATCATATGAGTTGATAATTGTAGAGACAAGCCTGAAGCGTGGGTAACATGAAATAAATGGACTAAATGGCCTTCTCACCTTGGATTTTCATCATATTTGAATGATCTACAAGACCACATCCTACATCTAGCATTTTTGGTGGGGGTTCATACTAGTGATTAGATCCCCCCCACTTTGCATTATCCCTAAGTATATCCAATGGAGAAGAAGAATCACAGTTGGCTATCACCCTGTAAATCTGGAACTTGTTCCTGCTGCACTTAATATCTTGGATCCCAATGACCCAATTAAGAGCGCTGGCTATTGGAAATGTGAACCTAAACAGTTGTATCGTACAAACAGGGGTTCTGCATACAAGCGCATCAACATGCGTGCACCACACTCATGCCTGTATACAAGTACACACACGCCCAAATAATTTCAGAATGAGTTAAGCCAGCAAGTACCTACTCAAAGGATTTTGAAATTGATGTAACAGGTAAGTACTTACGCTCATCATCTGATCGTCTTTGCAATGCCCAGACAGTTCTCGGATTCCATTCGCAAATTGCCTGGCATTGGTGCTGTACAGTCGACCAGCTTCAAGCATGGCATTGCATAATTTCACCAGCTGCAAAAAGAGGGCCACATGCTAATTCGATCACATGGGAATGTTATACAGGAGCAGGCTGGATCAATTTATTTCCAATTGGCAATGTCCAAAAGATTATTAGTGGTAATATAGGCATTTACCAATTGCTTTAAAGGCCTGAATAGTAACGGGGAAGGGAGGCAGTGGTGCATTTGGACATTGGCCGATTGCACCTCCCTTCTGTAATCCAGCTGACGCTTTTCTGGGCATGGGCACCAGCAATTCTCCTACTGGAAATCATTTATTAAATAATGTGTATTGCGCTAATAGCAATACTGAAAACCAATTGAAGATCATTAATCAGATGATACATTTGTGTATGCTGGAAGCTACATGTATGAATACACAGGACCCTGTTTTATGTCGCCAAAAGGAATTTGTACATACATTGCACATTTTTCAAATAAAAAGGCACCAGGGAGGCAGCCAGTCTCTGCTACATCCCCATGCAGCCTTGACAGGTAACTGTTCTCGCTGCGTCTCCATGCCAATGATGGCCAAACCAAACCTCTTTTCATGTTGTATAAAATGGTGTCTCTTTTCAAGCATGCTTCTTGCATTCTGGTTATGATGATAGCAAGATAAAAAGCTTTAATTTCTAATTTCTTTTTAGCACTGTTCAGCTAAATATATTGCAAATGTAAAATGTATGGGCTACCAAGCCCGGTTTCACTCTGGAATTTGACTTGCCGAGTATTAGTATCAGCTGGGATCAAAATACTGCTAAAAAAAAGGTCTGTAGGGATATTTAACATTACCTAACATAATGCTAACAGCAGTTCCCCAGCTGCTGTCTCAGAATTGATCATTATGCATGGTTCTGAGATGGGCTGGAACCAGGAATTTCCTTGTCTGTGTATTTCTTCCTACCTGGTAGAATGTTTATTATTTCTTTTGTACTAAAAGAAGGTTCTGGCTCTCATTTTGGGTCGGAATGGAGGAAGGTTGGATTCACAGGCAAATGGAAAACCAATCCAATGTCACCTTCACCTCTCACCAGTCATTGCTTATGGCACTTACCTTCTCAAGTTTGACTTCAAGTTCTGTCACCTCTGTCTCTACTCCTTCAATTGAAGCTCTGGAAGAGAGATTGAATTAGTTAAAAACTGAACGAAATGTTGCTTTTGAATATAAACCATAAGAGGAGCAGAAGTAGGCCATTCAGCCCATCATGTCTTTTCCACCATTTAATGAGATCATGGCTGATCTGATAATCCTCAACTCCACTTTCCTGCCTTTTAACCATAACTCTTGGTTCCCTTACTGATAAAAAAACATTGTCTGTGTCTGCCTTGAATATAAATAATGACCTAACCTTAACACCCTTTGTGGTAAAGAATTCCACAGATTCCTAACCCCCGAGAGAAGAAATTCCTCCTCATCTCTGTCTTAAATATGCAACCCCTTATTCTGAGATATTCTCTCTGTTCCTAGATTTTCCCACAAGGAGAAACAATCTCATTGTCACCATCCTCTTAAGTCCTATAAGAAACATACATGTTTCAACAAGGTCACTTCTCATTTTTCCACATTCTAACGAGTACAGGCCCCATTTACCCAACGTCTCCTCAGAAGACAGTTCTTCATATCTGGTATTAGCCTACTGAACTTTCTGTGGATTACCTCCAATGTCTGTATCTCATTCCTTAGATAAGGGGCCCAAAACTGTTCATAGAATTCCAGCAGTGGTCTGACTAGTTTCTTGCACAGTTTTAGCAAAACTCCCTACTTTTATACTTCATTCCATTTGCCTTCTCTATTACCCATTGAACTTGGATGCTAGCTTTTTGTAATTCGCAGATGAGAACTCCCAAAACCCTCTGTTCTGTAGCCTTCTGCAGTCTTTCTCCATTTAATATTTAGCTCCTCTATTCTTCCCGCCAAAGTGCAAAACCTACCATTTGATGCTTTATATTCCATCTACCAAGTTCTTCCCACTTGCTTAAAATTGTCCATGTCCTTTTGTAGATTCTGTGTCATCCTCACCATTTGCCTTCCCACCTATTTTTATGTCATCCACAAACTTCAGTGTCATATATTCACTTTCCTTATCCAAGGTATTAATATATATTATAAATAATTGTGAACTGCAGCACTGTTCCTGTGCCATACCACTGGTTTCAGGTTGCCATTCCAAAAATGCCCCCTTTATCCCAACTCTCTGTCTTCTATTAGTTAGCCAATCCATGCTAATATACTACCTCCAACACTGTGAACTTTTACTTATGAAGTAGCCTAATGTGTGGCACCTTATCAGCCGTCCTCTGAAAATCGAAATATTTTCCATCCACTATTTCATCTTTATCTATCCTGCTTGCGACCTCCTCAAAGAATTCAAGTTCATTTGTGAGTAATGTTTTCCCCTTCACGAAGCCATGCTGACTCTGCTTGATCATATAATGTATTTCTAAATACTCTGCTACTACATCCTTTATAATAGACTCTAAAATTTACCCAGTAATAGACATTAAGCTAATTGGTGTATAGTTACCTGTTTTTGTTTCCTTCACTTTTTCAATAAAGGTGTTATATTGACAGCTTTACGAACCTCTGGACTTTTCCAGAATCTATGAATTCCTGAAGATTACAACCAGTGCATCCATTATCTCCAGCTACTTCTTTTAATATCTTAGATTGCATCCTATCTGGTCCAGGGGACTTATCAGTTTTAGCCCCATTAGTTTCCCTAGCATGTTTTCTCCAATTGTTGTATTTATATCCTCTTCACTTGCCCCTTAAAATTTAATACTTTTGGGATGTTATAGTGCCTTCTACTGTAAAGGCCAATGAAAAGTATTTATTCAATCCCTCTGGCATTTCCTGGTTCTCCGTTATTTTTGCCCCAGCCTCATTTTCTAAGGAGCCCATGTTTCCTTTGGCTTTTCTTCCATTTTTTACATTTAAAAAAGTTCTTGCTATCTGTCATGATGTTACTTGCAAGTTTACCCTCAAAGTTTATTTTCTCCTGTTTTTATTTGGTTGTCTTTATTTGGTTTTTAAGAACTTACCCTATCTTTTGGCTTACCACTAATCGTTGCCCCATTGAATATTTTTTTCTTTCATTCTAGTGCTATCCTTAAACTTCCTTGGTTAACAATGTTTAGTTTATCCCCTTCCTTTTAATTGACGTTGCGGCACCAGGTCTGAGAATCTTTCTCTCTCACTGGAATATGCCTTTGCTGTGAACTTTGAAGTATTTTCTTAAGTCTACCATTGTTCCTCAAACATCTTTGCAGCTAAACTCCTTCCCCATTCCACTCCAACCACATCCATCCTTATTCTTTTGTGATTACTCTTATTTCAGCTTAGCACAGTTATTAACCCAAGTTCCTCCCTTTCAAATTGAATGCTAAATTCTACAATATTATACTGTGTAATTGTATAACTTTTGTTTATTCATTTCGTGGGCGTCGCTGGCTGGCCAGCATTCCTTGCCCATCCCTGGTTGCCGTTGGGAAGGTGGTGGTGAGCTGCCTTCTTGAACCGCTGCATTCCTCCTGCGGTGGGTTGACCCACAATGCCATTAGGGAGGGAATTCCAGGATTTTGACCCAGCGACAGTGAAGGAATGGCGATACATTTCCAATCAGGAAGGTGAGTGACTTGGAGAGGAACTTGGAGGTGGTGGTGTTCCCATATATCTGTGCCCTTGTCCTTCTAGATGGAAGTGGTCGTGGGTTTGGAAGGTGCTGTCTGAGGATCTTTGGTGAATTTCTGCAGTGCATCTTGGAGATAGTACACACTGCTGCTACTGAGCGTCAGTGGTGGAGGGAGTGATTGCTTGTAGATGTAGTACCAATCAAGTGGGCTGCTTTATCCTGGATGGTGTCAAGCTTCTTGAGTGTTGTTGAAGCTGCACCCATCCAGACAAGTGAGGAGTATTCCATCACACTCCTGACTTGTGCCTTGTAGATGGTGGTCAGGCTGTGAGGAGTCAGGAGATGAGTTAGTCGCTGCAGGATTCCCAGCTTCTGGCCCACTTTTGTAGCTACTCTGTTAATGTGGTGAGTCCAGTGAGTTTCTGGTCAATGGTAACCCCCAGGATGTTAATAGCGGGGGGATTCAGTGATGGTAACACCATTGAATGTCAAGGGACGGTGGTTAGATTGTCTCTGATTGGTGATGGTCATAGCCTGGCATTTGTGTGGCGCGAATGTCACTTGCTACTTGTCAGCCTAAGCCTGCATATTGTCCAGATCTTGTTGCATTTGAACACGGACTGCTTCAGTATCTGAGGAGTCATGAATGGTGCTGCACACTGTGCAATCATCGGTGAACATCCCCACCTCTGACCTTATGATGGAGGGAAGGTCATTGACCAAGCGACTGAAGATGGTTGGGCCTAGGACACTATCCTGAGGAACTCCTGCAGAGATGTCCTGGAGCTGAGATGATTGACCTCCCACAACCACAACCATCTTCCTATGTGTCAGGTACGACTCCAACCACCGGAGAGTTTGCCCCTGATACCCAATACAGACGATAACAGAAGATAAAATGAGGAAAAAGGCAGGTGTCATATTTGAGCTGGTATTGGAGAATATAATGACAGGAGATAAAAAGGGATTGATATCAGGAGGAAGAATGTGGACTTTAAATGGATAGGGATGAAGAATTCAATTAAACTAATAGACATAGTCTACAAACCACCTAAAAGTGAGATAGAGGAAGAAATATGTGGACAAAGTCAAGGAAATGATTAAAATAATAATAATAAAGATTTCAACTTCCACAATATTAATTGAACAGAAAGGTGGTAAATGGATGAGAGTAGAATTCCTACAGTGTTTGTGGGACTCCTTTCTAAACCAATGTATAAAAAGGTCAATAAGGGAGGATTTGCTATTGAATATATTAATGGGGAATGCATCACAGTAGGTAAGAGAAGTATTATCTCATTGCTTATCATCCAATGCTTAACATATGAGGAACGTTTGAGGACTCTGGGACTATACTCATTGGAGTTTAGACAGATGAGGGGGATACTAATTGAAACTTTCAGAATACTGAATGGCCTGGACAAAGTGGATGTTGGGAAGATGCTTCCATTGGTAAGAGAGACTAGGACCCGAGGGCACAGCCTTACAGTAAAGGGGAGACCTTTTAGAACGGAGATAAGGAGAAACTACTTCAGCCAGAGAGTGGTAAATCTATGGAATTCACTGCCACAGAAGGCTGTGGAGGCCAGGTCATTGAGTACATTTAAGACTGAGATTGATAGGTTCTTGATTATCAAGGGGACCAAAGGTTACAGGGAGAAAGAGGGAAAATGGGGTTGAGGAACTTATCAGCCTTGATTAAATGGCGGAGCAGACTCGGTGGGCCGAATGGCCTAGTTTTTGCTCCTATGTCTTCTAGTCTTATGGTCTAAGTAGGGGACAATTTAAGCAGTAATGATCATGGAATAATATGCATTAAAATGATAGGAAGAGCATAAGTTTGATGGAAATAAATAGATTGGAAAGAAGTCTTATTTTGCAGAGCTGATCACTACATTCTTTTCCCACCCTGATACCTATTAACTCTAGAACTGCCTTTTTGGGCAGGCATTTTTTCTTTTCCCCTGGTCATTCTTCCTCAAGTAAACAGTTAGGCAAATCTTCCAGCTTTATTACAAACCTTCAAAAATTTGTTCTTTTCAATCTGAGCACAAGTTTCCAACTGCATTCCTGTGGTGAACCATAGAGATTTTAAACCTGTAACTGATTTCTCCTGTATTCTGGAAGGCTGCCTCTTTGCTCCTCTCAAAACACATCTCCATCGACATATGAAACACACAGGCTCGTTTTCAGGTAAAAGTTGTGATTAGATTTTATTGAAATCTCAATTCGAATTAAGTGGACAATTTAAGGCATAAATGTTTCCAACCTGACATTCTCAACACCTTCCTGGGCCTTTGGAACTGAGCAGCCCAATCACTGATCACACACTTGCCTTTGCCATTGGTTACAAGTATGAACACATCATATCTTCTTACCATCAAACTGGGCTTCCTCTTAATCTTTATCAGTCAAACCAACCTGGCCAATTGTTAGGGAGAGTCCAGTACAGATCACATAACCTACTTAATTTTATCCTA